AGCTTCGATTCAGCCGCCAGCCTGACCTCCAATCCCCTCTCCATCTCCTCCTCCTACCCGCTTCTCATCACCCAGGGTACTAAATTCGAGGGCTGCACCATCCTTTTCATGATGCTCTACTTCTTTTCCATGGCTGGTCATATCTGGTGGGTCGTTCTAACCGTCACCTGGTACCTCGCGGCTCGTTGCCACTGGGCCCATGAAGCCATCTTCCGCAACGCCCAGTATCTCCACTTCGCCGCATGGGCCATTCCCGCTGCCATGACTATCTGTCTCCTTGCTATGGGCAAAGTTGATGGAGATCCTCTCTCCGGAGTGTGTTTCACGGGTTTGACAGATCCAACCATCGTCCGATACTTTCTTATCGCTCCTCTTTGTATTTCCCTTCTCTTGGGAGCCTGTTTCCTCATTGCTGGATTCGTCTCCCTATTCAAAATCCGAACCATCATCAAGACGGGAGGATCCAAGACTAACGACTTGGAGAAGCTAATATTCCGAATCGGGGTATTTAGTCTGCTCTATCTTCTTCCTGCTGCTGTAGTCATTGCTTGTTACATCTACGAATCGCAGAAGATGGACAGATGGATGCTTACTTGGTATACCAACGAAGTGTGTCGAAACTTTGACTTGAGGAAGATTGCAGGCTCCTCCAAGTGTATTGCACAGTTGCACCAAATCCTAGGTGATACAGAGCCAGCTTCTTCAACTTCTGGAGGTGACGTCTTTGATAAAATGGACACTCCGACATTCGAACTCTTCATGATTAAGTACCTCATGACCCTGATTGTGGGAATAACCAGTGGAATCTGGGTGTGGAGCTCCAAGACCCTTCATTCGTGGCACGTCTTCTTTGCGAGGATCTGCAGATGCACGCCTCCACCACCACAGCCATTTCCAGCATCTCAAGGGGTTCAACAGGCTACAGCAGCTCAACCAAATCGACACATGCAGAACCGGAGTGGATTTTCAGCTGTGAAAGGGACACAACAACACCAACAGGCGCTGTTGGAAGGTGGGAAAATGTCGATGGCTGAACTAGGCGGATCAACGAACTGGTCAAGAGGTCAACCGTCGGGGGCTCCAACAAATGCAGAGAATCCAAGCGGGGTGACCCACCCCGGTGGTTTCAATTGGCCTCCACCCTCACAAACAATGGGGTATTTTGAGCACACTCCGTTACAATGAAAAGAGAAGATGCTTGCCTACTTCTAAGTCCATCCGTCACCCTCTGTCCCACAATCTACCAGCGTGACAATCTCGTCGTTTACGTCATTATTTGAGTAAGTTCTTTCCTACTGATTTGTTTATGGTACTCGGGGAGGGGGTTTTTGCGACCCAGCAAGAGAACCTCCAACAACCGTTGCGGTGCTCTATTCTTTATACGCCCTTTTTTCTACGTTCATCTACCCATTTGTTCATGAGTTCATCGATCCATCCAGCCATCTACCCCTCCATCCATCTCGTTCACCTGGTTGTTTCGACCTTTCCCACTCTTCCCTCTGATTGGTCAATTAGGCGACAGGCTGGGTTTCGCTTCCCATTAAGGCGAGGATCCGTCTTTTCCTCTCCCTCATCAATTCATTTGCTCACTTACACCTCCAGCTCTTTTTCCTTTTACCGGTTAATCCATTGCGTCTCTTGGTAGACTTCCATATCTGCCGTAGGTTTTGAGGGGATTCACTCCTTCCTCACTGGAGGGGTTAGTCTTCTAGGCATTGCTTAGAACTGGGATAATTTTCCACAGTAAGCGCTTTCGCTAATGGCCTCATTAAGCGCACTTTTTACACCTCACATTGTTTGATTATCCCTCAAATTGTCAAATAAGCTCGTCGTGAGGTTTTGTTTTATGTAAAAGCCGAAGAACTCTCCCCAAAGCGGTATCAACTTGCTGTGCGAATTCTCCACCACATTTCATATACTTTATCGCTAGAAGCAAGTAACCAAACTTGACCACATCCATTACCTCCCGCTTTTATTTCCCAACTGGCTATTCTATTTTGCGTATGAAATCCCTTGGGGAAGTATCACCAGGGGAATACGGAGGATGGGACAGTATCTCCCTCCCTACTTCTCTCACTTCCCGCCCCAAGCGCGCATAATCTCAAGGGTAACTTTTACGGCAATGTGAAGTCCTGCGCTGTCTTAAAAGGGGGGAACTTTCGTCTCACCTCTATGGTCAACCACGCACACGCAGAGACAGACAAAGCAGGCCTAAATCTCCTGGTGATGAAATGATTCCTGTACTTTAGAAGTGCTGAGTGAGTTTCCTGAAGGTAACCAATCAGCACGTTGATTGGCCTAACGAACCAACCTCCCATCAAATGTCAATCAGTCAGTCAGTCACCATGACATGCTTTTACGACCTAGGTGACAGAAGTGAAGAGGAGTAATAAATTTGATAGTCTTGGCAACAGCGAGTTGTCATGAGTTGCTCTACACACTTTTTTTCCAATTAGGCATGTCAACGAAGTTTGTTTTGTTGTTCACAGAAAGTTGTTCTTGATACGTGTCAATCTTCAAGAGGGTCTTCCTAACTCTGATGCCTTTGGCTTTGAGTGACACCTGCCCTAAGTAGGGGTTGGACTTGGCTTACGCCAGGTAGATAGGCACCAATCACACTGATTTAATGTATTAGGAGAGTTGTGAGGAAGACCGCACTAAGAGGCTGTTCCAAATTCTAAGTCCGTGCTGAGGACTGTGCGGACTTTTTTGATTACCTATTACCTTCTCGGTGCTCTGTTCTGCCCTCGCTCCTCCTTTCCACTAACACCGAGTGTGGGTTATCACATTTGTCTGAAACGTCTTGATGAATAGCTTGAAGGCTTTGGAGATGTTGATCTCTGCGGACGTGATAGAGGAGTGGCTGAATGTCATTTGAACTCCCGATCCCCTCTGCTGACCCTGCCTTCACGATTAACGTGACTTCGTCTTTGCCACTGTATGATAGACTGTGGTTGCGTCAAGTCGCGGTATAAATAGGGTTGCTTTAATTTGAGATGGAATCGTCTCTGTCGGGGGGATAATTGCATGATTTTTCCACCTCGTTTTAAAAGGCGATTGAATAGGTAAGAAATGACAGCATCAGCTGTACTGTGGTGGTCGTCCTTCCCCCCACCCTCACGCCGTCTCCACTTCCCCCCTAAATTCTGTTTGGGTTGGTGGGTGGAGAATGAGACAATGCCCCTTTTTCCTATGCACCTTCGTAAATTTCTGGTCCTTTATGGCAGATGTCTACCGCCTACAGCATCTGAATTAATTTTGAAGGTGCTAGAGTTCTCGAGTCTGCTTGATTGCTTCTAAAATGACACGATAGGCTGAGGCGCTCCTCTATCTTGCCTTTCCTCCGTGGTTCAGTCTGTTGATCCCATGAGTTTTCAGAATTCCATGTTCAGGTGGATTTTCCACAGAATGTCTAATTTGACAATCCCCAGGGCAGCAAGAGGAGGCAAAACGAGGCCTCTGAGTTGAAGTACCTTTTTTTTCTCGACAGCGCTGGAACTGTCATCACGATACATTAAGACATTCTTCACCTGTCAAAGTTGTCAACTGAAGATGGTCAACTAGTGTTAAGATTGTTTAGTCACTCAACTGCGTTCCAAGTTGGCATTTTCCCCCCTTTGCCCTAATCTGCATAAAATGTACAGTGGAAGAGTAAGCCTGAAGTTTATTTACTCCCGTCAAGTCCGTTTATGCGTTGGCACAATCATCCCACCTTCCATTCATCTATCTCATTGCTGGCAAAGATGGCAATCTCCCCATTCGGTTGCTTCTTCATCCATTCATCCAACCAATTCACCAATCAGTCCTCCAGCTTATCCATCTGACCTCACTCCGACTCACTCCACAGGTAGCTTATCCGCTTATGGTCCCATTCACACTTATATGAATCCGTTCCACTCCTTCCATCCATTTCTACATGCATTCGCCTTCTTCAATTCAACCCTCTGTCCCATCTACCCTTTTGCTCATTTACCTACCTCCCTTTCTCTCCGTTCGATGCAGCATTCACCTCTCAGTCTCTACTTCCCTTCTCGTCCCGTTAACCCGCCCGGATGAAGGAAGGCGCTCCTTTGTGCGAAAAAAAAGAACGTCTCGGTGTCTACGATGCTTTCAGGTTCTGGTCCAGACGTGCGTTAGGGCTGTTTTTTTAAAAAAATACGGTCGATCGCTTTGTACTGCTTTACTACGCAACCTCAGCCCCTTTGTTTATTTGATGTCTAGCTTTGTCGTCTCCTTATCAAAGCAGTGCGATTTATCCACCACCACCATCACGGCTTCTTTGCAGAATCACCCGATTTGGCCGTGGCGATTGTACCTCGCGATAGTACTCAAAAGGTAGACATTTGAAAGATCAAAGCAAATCAAGTCGTTGCCATCTTCTTTGATGTTCGCTTCTTTTTTTTCCAAGATAAAAACTGGGACAGTTAGTGTCCATCCTAAATAAGTGCACGGTGATTTTTCATTGGCCAAGTCTGTCAGGTTAGACACCTTCTGCAGTCAAAATTCCTCCCGGTTGTGAGTGTGCTCACGTTTCTGCCAGATTTGGCACCGCCAATATCGAAGTTCCCTCCATTTGATAGCATTTCATCACTCATGAATTGTACCGGAATGACCAGCTAGAAGCTGGCTTACTGGAGACCCACAGACCTCGCGACACCACTTAGGGAACAAAGCCCTGAAAAGAGAGGGAGAGAGTAGGCATTACCTCCATAATGATTAATGTGCAAGCTGCCATGTCACTCCAATCTTAAGCTGTGCTACGTGTGCGTCTATGTGTGTAGGCGGCCTGCACCAATCGGATGAGCCACGCATACAGGCACGTACGCACATGCGCGTGTCGACTAAATGTCATTATTAATGTCATGCCATGTAGATGAATGTGCGTGTGTGTGTGTGTGTGTATGTGCTTGTTCGTTCGTTCATGCATGTTTACTGCATAAACAACGCGATGGATGGTACTTCCTGAATGCTTTAGTGGGTGTCGTCCAAAGGGAGATGACTGGTTTGATTGTCTGGACGGTTGAACACAGGGATGCGTGCTTCAATAGTTTGACTGATGAGTTGATTTACTCGTCAAATGGATGGATGGATTGGGCGGTAGGTGTAAAAGAGAACCGTCAAGTTGTCCAATGGGTGGATGGCTGGATAAACGGTTGGGAGGGCGCCTGATTGAGTGGTTTGATGAGTAGATGAGTTTGGTAGCGAAATGAACAGTGTGGACGGCGGATAGGTACGCATCGATGGATTATTAATTCAGCTGGTAACCAAAGCAGCAGATGGAATATTCAGGTAGTTGAATGGATCTTTGGACCAAGACATGGGTTTTGATACACCTCACTCCCATATTTGCTCCTTCAAGTTCACTCATCACTTCATCTCGCGTCCCGATGATTGACACTAATTCTTGTCATACATCGAGGTCGCGTTTCCTTTCACTCCTTCCTCCACCTTCGGCTCCTCCCCCCCCCCCCCTCCACCCAGTCCACACCTAAATTTTCTCACCATGTTTGTTCGCCCTTCCAGGTGTTTACGCATGGTTTGGTTTATGAGAAAAAGCGGTATCGCAACTAGTCATCACGACACTGCTGAATAATACTAGGTGAGAATTTTCACTCACTTTGCGCCCTGGAAGTCACTTTGAGTGTCCATTTACGTTGACCAGTAATGGGAAGCAAAAATTGAGGATATAGGTAACCAACGCCCCTCGAATCACCTCAACGGCTGTCCTCTAAACCCAGTTTCATTTTTAATCGAACGCCCAAGTAACTAAGTCGTGGAGAAAACCTCACAAGACTTACGAAGTGGAATAACTATGATGGAAGGCGGTGGTGCATTATCTGTCTTATTGACTTTCTTTTTTCGCCTCCGCCTCCCCCCCACCCAAATACCCTGCCTTTTTTCCCTCTCGCTCTGTTTCAAGGTCGTCTGTAACTTTTCTCCCCTCTTTCCTTCCTTCCATGCACGGACCGTTCTGACATTCATAAATTATTTCTGCGCGAGTGCGTGCGTGTGGGTGTGTGCGTTCATTCGTTTCGGCGTTCGCCATTTGTTGTTGTTGTTGCAATAACAGCACCAGTAGCAGAACGCTAATAAATGGCTGCGTTCACTACACTTGTGCGTGCGTGTGCGCGTGCGTCAGTTGACTCAGGCGATAGGCCTCGTGTGCACGCGCCACGCTCCCCTTCCCCCCTCCCACCAATCGTGGCTAATGAATCATTCGTGCATTCTCGTGCGCACATCCAAGCACATGGTCGCAGCTGCCCTCTCATTGGTTAACCTGGGGAAGTGAGTCATTATGCGTGCATGTGTGCACTTGCGCGTAAGGCGACATGCAACTGTGGTGTTTTGAGTCAGCCTATCACTTTTTAAACTGAATTCTTATCTTTTTCTTTTCTTCAGGTATGTCTTTACTTCATCGCCTCACATTATCATCATCAGGGTCTACCACTACTTTGTCTCTCCCTCCTCTTGCCAACGAGCCCACACACTCGTAAATAATACATAAAGGGTAAAAAAGAAGCGCCCAAATGTACATAAAACAATAAGGGAATTATTTATTTCTTGTCTGAAAATCGCATTTTTCTTCGTTGTATGTGTGCGTGTGCGCAGGACTTCTGCACGTGCTCCCGTCCCCCCGCCCCCACCCTCTGCCCCCCACTCATTAAAGACACACGTTCGATCCCATTGCGACAAAAGCTACTTATATTATTAATGGAAGTAATACATGCCTACCAGTACTCTGCAACTAAGCCGATTTTAATAGTGAGGTGATCGTTATGACCTTTTTTCCGAATTTGGAGGCGGTTAGAGGGGAGGAATGGCGTTTTGTTCAAATTCTGAATACAGTTTGTAGAAATCCGGTTTCGGGGAGGTATAAGTGGCTACCCGGGTAGGTTGTTCGCGGATTCGATAGATGGACAGCTGGCCTACCATTGACGTGGATACCTGAGGGGGCGGTCGAATGGCTCGTTGAATGGAGTGACAGGGAAGTTATTTAATGGACAGTGGGGTATGCTAATAAGTACTAGGTTTATCAAGCCCGCAGACACGCGAGAAAATGCATGTGCGGTCGGATGCTTGAGCAGGCAGTCTTGCAGATCCGTGAGGGGAGAATCGTATGATTTGTTGATTAGGTAAATGGTTCCAAAGCAGGAGCTACACAAAAGGAGATATACCATGTTTTCATGATTGGAATTTAAATAAGCTGTCAAATTATTGGGGGAATTAACTAAGGAATGGATAAATGGGTGGCTTCAAGGAGGGCTTAAAACATGCTTGCTGAGTAAGTGGTGGGGCAACTAGCCGGATGGCAGATTGGTTCGATGGATGGAAGGCTGATCTTTAACAGCAAGGTCATCTTCGCTTTGCCCTCAACTGATTTTCACGATGTGTACATCTGCCATATCAATTAACTGAATTGAGGATGCTGATTTCACAATCATCAATTTCGGGAATTTCGCATTAAATTATAAAATTCTCAATTGCAACACTAGACTCCACTACAATGATTTTGCATTCCTGCAGATCCCCCATTTATCTGTCTAATCACCAAACAAGAGAACTAATCAGTCCGACAGATAGTCGAATGTGCTTCCCCTGTCAAAGAGCTGTCTGATAGTGGGTGTCGCTGTGAAAGTGGTACATATGTATGCTGGTGTCAACAGGAAGGAGCAATTCGTGGTGCCTCATTCGCGTGTCCACATCACTCGCCAAAGTCTATGGTATTAATGTCACGATAATATGCCAATGCCTGATAGAATTCTGGTGAGGGGGACACCAACTCAAGCCAAGAAAAGATAAGTATAAAAAGGGGGAAAATTGGTGAGAAAAAATTGACAACCAAGTTGACACATTGCCTGTCTGTCC